TAGTGTAGTATGAACATGAAATGTTATAAAGATTTCTAAGGGGTTTTAGCTAAAAATGTCATTACGAAATCTTTACATTTTTGTTTTTAAAGAACTTTAGAAAGAAAAAAAAGCAATCTTTACACTAATATTTGTTTTCCGGATAAAATTAATAAATGCTGAGTTTACTTGTACTGCGGTAAGATTGATCATTCTGATATCTGTTACAAAGATACAATCATCATGAAAATGTCTCATAAATTCAAACTCATGCCTTTTTGCATTAATCGCCACAAGCAAATTAAAGGTGACACTGCAATTTTAGACTGGCTTTTTTTTGTTGGAGATAATAGATGTAACCCTTTAATATAATCAAACGGGATTAGATTGGATGGGGATTACCTTTAAAGACACTGATTAATTAAAACTTAATTCGGTCTTGTATCGTTGGCTAAGTTCGGTCTTGTATTGTTGAACTCTTTCCTTACCTTTGATGGATAAGCTAATATAAAATTTTGGTTTGATAAACAAAATACAAATTCCTTAAAAAAACAAAAAAGACTTGAGAGAAAGTGGTCTGAGAGAGGGAAGCATAATTCATTTACACATCAATCCATACATTATACATACAAGAGATTTTGAGAGGAAACCAACTCATCAATGGTTGGAGGTTTTTGATTAGTTAAAATTAGAAGTCATTAGTGCTAGATTTCCTATGCAATTATACCCATAACGTGACACGACCCACATGCTCCTCCTCCACATTTCATTTTTATACAATTTTTTTTTCATTAAGGTCATGTTACTTTTGGAGAGTTGATACATGAATTATTTGTTGACAAAAGAGAAGAAGCTATTTTAATTTATTTACTAGATAGTTACCCGTTATATGCGGGATAATATGATATGTATTTTAGTTTTAAAAACTCATCTATAGTTATTGAAAAAATTATTTTACGGAATCAAAAACTCATTTATATATATAAATTTTGTAATTATTTTGTATAGAAATATATCCTATCCGTGAAATAATTGAAAACAATAAATTTTTAATTTCTTAGTATATATCACTTATAAATAGAATACATTTATTTAATATCATAATTTTTAAAATTACGTTTTTTGACTCAAATATACATAAAAAAAAGATTCCAAATATGATTTTACCAAAAAAAAAAAAGATTTCAAATATGAATTGAAGGCGTTGAGGCCGACGACCGTGGAGGATGGACGGTGGATGATGCGGTGGAGAAGCCATAGATGATAAAATAGCATCAAACACATCCCTAAAGGCACAAGTGTGTAATCCAAATACTCAAGAATCTTATAGGTTTAGGGTAATTATAAGAGTAATAATATAGTTTTTAAAATACAAATTCAGATTTAATTAATTGGTCACAAATCATTTTAGGTGCTATCCTAATATAAAATTTAGGTGCTATCTTAGTAGAAATCTAAAAATCATTTTATATATATAAATTCTGTAATTATTTTGTATAGAAATGTGTTTCCACCCATGATATAATTTTTAAAAATGATTTTTTAATTTTTTAATCATTATATATAACTTATTAATAAAATGTATTTGTTTGATATCATAATAAAGATACGGTGATTCAAATATACAAATGGAAAATTGAAAATATAATTTGAATCCTATAGGTTTAGAGTAATTATAAGAGTAATAATATAGTTTTAATAATATAGTTTTAAATAATTTAATGGTAAGAATTAATATTACAATCTTTGAATAATTGTTTTAAGCAAGTTTATAAATATTCTAATGTCTTTGGCAATTAGGATTAGAGTAAATCAGAATAAGTTATTTGAAATTAAATGTATTTGGTAATGAGTATAAAATAATTAAAAAATAAAAAAGTAAGATTGAGAAAATTTGAGAGTTTGACATCTAAACAAAATGATCTAAGAATATTTCTCCTTTAATATATCTTCAAGTAAGATTAACATTTTCAAATTTAAATTTAATAAAATTAATTATGTTTGACTATGGAGATTGTTGTATCATGAAGAGTTTTTGGCTATTAGAATAGTATGANATAATGATTAGGGAGAATTTGAAAAATACCCTATTTATGTTTTGAAATTTGAAAAATAGGACTTTTTTTGAAAACTAACTATTTTTATATGTGATAAGACTTTTTTGTCCTGATTTAAATTA